CATAGCCTTTCACCTGTCTTTGTTTATACTCTGTATATAATTAAATCTCGTATATAAAACTATAAAATGCCCCTTCGGCTTCGGCGATTTCAATCTTTAACTAATCCAATGTCCAATTTTGTGCAGCTTTTTAATACATTGTGACACAACATCCAACATTTTTCATATTAAAAATAAAATTTCCGTTGATAGACAGCAGATTTCAACGACCAAAACGACTCTTCGTCTTCTTTGAAGAGTTAATACACTCCTATCTACTCCTATAGTCAGCCATATTTATTAGTAAAAGTTCGTGTTCAATTTCCGCATTCCATTGTTTTCATGCGACCAATCAAATCACTTCTCGTTTTGGTTTTCGCCAGGGCCTCCGGCAACACAGTGTCAGCCGTGAGGCCCTGGGACCGAGGATGATGTCAGAGGGGTTTTGTGTGGGGTTTTCAGGTGGCCCCCAAAAGCAGGAATTGGTGAAATTGTGAAATTCGGACCCTCTTTATAGTAGACATACACAGGGAAAAATTTGTTATTTTTAAGGAATATGGTTTGAAAAATTTTTTTCTTTCCCACCCCCAACTTAAGTTTGAAAAAAAAAGGCCCCACTTAAAAAATTAAATGGGGGGGGGGGCCTCAGGAGGCACTGGTAACTCGACTGGTATTACCATGAAACTGTTATAAAAGACTTTGTGATTAAAACAAGTTGCAAAAAGTGGAGGAAAAGAGAACATGAGGCAGTGAAATCTTAATTGGCTGTGAAGTTGCAGACTGTTCCACCAAAGAAGCTTTTACACTCATCACTTGACAATGATGGTCCCCAAAATAGTGACATGAAGGCTAGATCACCAAATGTTTTGCCCCCCGTATGCATAATATACGAGAAACAATCCGATTTGTTCAAATGTCATGGTATGTCTTACATTGTAATTATATGGTATATTTATCATTAAATGAAATCATTATACATTTGCTAGTAAATGGTACAGCGATCACGTAGCAAAATAATCACCTGAATATTTATTCCAAAATTATTACCTGTGAAGAATAACCCTTGTTGCATGTGAGACAAGATGCAGATCTATTGCGCGAAGCTCGCACAAAGAAAAAGGACAACTACAGGATCTTATTAAAAATTGTGGAAAAGATTGTGTTGCCATTGAGGTTAAGTACCATAATAACTAACTATTTGTATGGACAGGATAAGACATCATGTGAAACAACTTCAATGGTTTTGTACAACATGGGATATGATGATAATCACAGCGCTACACAGTCCATATTGAATGATCAAACTACAAATTCTGTATCATGCTTCTATATTGCTTAAGAAAAAGCTAGCCACTGTGAAGTGGCTTATGGACCCTTGGCTGCATGTAGCTGAATGAATAACTTTACTAAATGAATTTCTTGTAAAGAAGTTATTCTACAGAGTGGAATTAATAGCAGATTTTCGATGTTCAGTGATATTGCCTGTTCAGTAATGTGCCTGTTGAGTAATAATAAGTCATGGCTTGCTTGTGTGCAGCATGCATTGGCAAAATTTGGCCATGTAATATCAGAACTACTCCAAAAGAACTGCCTGATCATGGTGAAATTAGTTAGTCTGGCGACATGTGCAACAGATTTCATCTTCTAGGTTTCTTTCAAAGGCTTTAGATGACGGGTAAACAATTTGAATGTTTCAGTCGCATTTTAGTTTTCTGACTTGCATCACCACTTTAATTCACACACTGTGGTGCACAATTTAAGGTACTAGTGCAAAATAAGCCCTTTCCCTGCATACAGTCTGTCAATATAAGCTTTACTGGAGAAACAAAAATGCTGACTCAGCATTTTTTAAAAACTTTGGAACATGATATCTCGGTAACGAACAACTGAAAGTTTTGAGTGTAATATAGTTTTTTGTCCAATTATGCACCTCAATCTGATGGCAATAAACATTTTTCAAAATTCGAACATTTTTACCTTTCGGAACTATAGATGATGTCATCACCAGAATATAGTCGATTTCTCGTTGTTGTGCACACTTACGACCAGGGGCTTTTTTTATTATTTAATTTGGCATGCTCCTCTACTAATTTATGAAAGAAATCATTAGGCTCCCGATGTGTGCAACGAAAGTCACTTTCTAGGCATATTTTTAGCCTTATGTGATGGCCTAAAAGACACGGTTGTGATCTACAAGTACCTGAAGTTTCATGCATGTAGCATAAATGGAAGTATTTTTATTGAATTTTTGAATAAACTATGTAGTTGAGTAAAATTTACATTTTGTGCTCACATGAAACAAATACCCTTATGAAAGGTCCTTTTTCATTGCTGCAACATACTATCAATACAAATTTCTAATATTTCTTTCACTCCAAGGATAGTATGGCACCAAAATAAGTCTGTGATACCCAGAAAAGAACACTCAAATCACTATTTGCAAAATGTCTTTATTTCTACAGTTACTATATACATTCTTAGATAATCAGTACACCATTGACTTATATTTATCAGTGGCATAACCAGCCTGAAAATTTGGTCATGCTATTCAAATTTTAAATAATCATTACTCATTTCTTTAGAAATTGATTGTTTTCACAATCTAGAACATGAAAATATTTGCATATAGCATGACCAAGTGTTGTTGGGCTGGCGTCATCATTAGTAGTTATAAAATAGTAATGTTTTCCAAGGCAGTAATGTTTGCCAAGGCACATAATCGGATTATGTGGTGAAAATATTTCCTTTTTTGCACAAAATATATATTGGACAGCAAAAGACCTAAGATTGTAACCAAACTTATATCACATCACCATGTCATACCCAAATCCATCCTAGGATGAATCTCTGGACTTGTTCCTGTATAAATCTCAAAGTCGCAATATAACCATTAGGACTGTCTCCAGCAACTCACAGATTTATCTCCCACATAGTAGGCCATGTTTCATGAACTGCCTAATGATTTGACAGTGTGTTCATCAACAGCAATTTTCTGTGATGGCTGGTACAGTTGTTGATGTAGTTTATTGCTGTAGTCTTCAGTGACAGGATCTACCATATTCAGAAACTTTGCTTTACAGTGCTTTGTACCTAAACCAAGAAATTATTTCTATTGCCCACAGACCATGATATAAGGTTTTTACATTCCAATAATTTTCAATCTCACTGTCGACCTTTACCAAACCTGCATATACTAAAAAGGCAATCAACCTCTCAATCTTGTCAAGGTTGGTGGACTCCAAGACCCTTCCTTATTAGTATATGGGTATGATTTTTGGGTTGTTTGTATGTGGGCATATGTTTTGGTATGGCCAGGAAACTACCTCCTGAAGCATTCCCTTAGTAAAAAAGAGCCGAATGAACTCAAGCTCACAGTTCATACTTCTGGTGAAAGCTTGATCAAAATAAATCCCGGACATGTCCGTGAGGGGCAAAATCTGGGATAATATTCCTAGTGTCAGGATCACCATATCTGTCATGTACTATGGGGCCTAGTGGGGGTGCTGGACAGGGGAGCTTTCAAAACCTTGGGTCCTAGTGGCTGGCTTACCTCTACTCATCCCCTACCTTCCCTCTACACTTATACATTTTCCTAATGGGGGTTGGGGTTCTCATCACTCTCAGAACTGCAGCTAGGAATAGGGTCAATATCTTCGTCACTGCAAATAAAAACTTTTTATAGACATAATCTATATGGTGCCACTTGAAATTATGATAAGAGCCAAACTAGTACAATATAAGTATGAATACTTGGTCTATTATGTATGTAACAAACAACCAAACATGTGCTCAAGGCCAATTTTTCTCTATGCCTAAAACACCATAAATTTTTGACAACAATATAAATAAATACCATTTATATTTGTCAATGTCTGTATGGAAGGATTATTTCAACACAAAAATGCGATATGAAGACATACTTGGTCGTTCTAGTGAAGCTATACTAAATGCAAATCAATTTACAACGCCATGGCAACGGCAAAACATTGAAATGGCATGTCTAAAAATGATCAAAATACTTGCCTTGAAACTCCAGACACGACTCAGGTTGCCAGGTTGAGATACTTGTCTTCGTACAAAGACATTCCGTCATTACTAGCACTATCAGTTTGCAAAATAAGGCCAAGAACGTCTTGAGGATGTGATTCAAACAATACAATTACAACACAATACATTACAATGCTTGTGCGCGATAATCAAGAAAATTGCTCTAAAAGGTTTGTTTTTCTGCCTAAGCCAATCAAAATCCATATCTAGAGTAAACAAACACTCCGGAAGTGATTTCTGCAGTCGATTACCAGGAAACTGTAATGCTTTGCCAAGAATTTGGCGTCTGAAGTTGGCAAAACACTTTCCAACCACGAGAATCGCCATAATAGGCATAGATTATTTTGGAATTTCGCGAGACTGCTCCGAGCTATAGAATGAAAGATGGAGATTCTTTTATCGCGTCATATCACCGCCAATATCATACACTTAATGTATGCTCTTGAGGGAAATAGTGAATTTTGTTTTCCCGAGAATCTCAATGTTTCCCGAGACGAAGTCGAGGGAAACATTGAGATTCAAGGGAAAACAAAATTCACTATTTCCCGAGGGAGCATACATTAAGTGTTTTGTTATATAGGAACAAAACTGTATTTTACACAACAATTTTATTTCATGAAAAGGCTTTACAATGCATATCATGCACTATATGGCTTCAAAATGTAACGAACAAGCGTTCGCATTCACTCAACTATGAAAACTCTTAGTACATGTATAAACAATATATATTTACAATAAAATGTCACTTTTTGTAAAAGTTAATGGGTCACATTTGCCCCGGCAAAAGCTCCAGAATGAAAATTGACAGTTTCTTGGCTGTGAGAGGCAAAATTCCGAGTCAATACAGGTGACTGTGGGCAATTTGTAGTTTCTCAGTTCTTTTGCTTCGTATACTAACACAATTTAAATAGAACTACTGGCATTCGTACTATTAAAGCAAGCACTACTGAGCGAGTGTGAAATTTGTTTTTGTTTTACCTCTGAGAGTCGTCTGGAATACGAGCAAATGCTGCTCTCAGATGTCCTTCACCTGGGGAATCGTCTGCGTTGTCATGGCCTCTATGGTTCTTATCTAATTCGTCAGCCGCCTGATAAACAAACTTTCTTCCTGTCGCGTCAGTCTTTATGGCGAACAACTGCTTCGTGACAAGTCGAAGGTTTTCTCTTCCTCGACGAATTAGGTGAAACATAATGTTGAACCAAACAAATCGTTGAAGGCTTTTTGGATCAGGAACAGGATTGTAAGACAATTGTATTTTTTGGAGATCCTCGCGCAAAATTGCATTGTGATGTTCGACATTGCCAAAACCTTGCCGTTTTAATTCAACAGTGGCTGCCTCGTAAACTTGATTTGATTTTGCAAATTCTTGATCACCAATGATGTCAACGTTCTTTTTAAGTAGAAAATGCCTCTGAAGACCAAACCTTAAACCCATAAGAGCAGATTTTTTGTAGTTTTCGCCATTCTTTTTCCTGGCATTTGAGTAAAAAGCAGTTAAAAGTTCGCTGAGTTCTTCTTTCGACAGCTTTTCGAGGTATTCAACGTCTTTCGGCGGAGATTCCTCCAGAGAAATTTCGTTACAAAATGCTATAAGGGTTCCCACAGCATTTTTTGTCAACTTTTGAGTGTTTTCCGAATCTTTTTTTTCTATTAAGAGCTGAATTTCATCACTTGATAAGCTCGAAAAACGCCGTTGTTTTTTTTTAGTTTTTGGCTCCATAGCTGAGCGGGCAACAATTTTTTACTTGTTGCCCAGCGGGAAACATTGCATTTATCTAAAGTCATGTGACTACGAATGAACCAATCACATTTCACATACACATTACCTATATAACAATCATGTATATTGTGTTTTCGATATTGAAGTTAAATAGGACATTCAGCACCTACGTGCTTTCGACATTGAAGGTAAATCTGACATTGAACATGCAGAACATTCAACATATTTTCGACATTGAAGTTAAATAGGACATTCAACGCCTACATGCTTTCGACATTGAAGATAAATCTGGCATTGAACATGCAAAACATTCAACATATTTTCGACATTGAAGTTAAATAGGACATTCAACACCTATGTGCTTTCGACATTGAAGTTAAACCGGACATTGAACATGCCGCGAATTTAGCACCCATCATCACAACTTCAACATTCAAAATATGTTGAAAAAAATTACCACATGTTGAATATTGGCGGAGTAGGACGATAGCGTCAAATCTCCGCCAATATTAATTAAGCTAACACAAGACAACCCCCCGGCCAAATTCATTTGTGTCCAGACCTCTAGAACATATCACATGACGGCAGCCAAGGTTCGGATTTGCCGCATCTTGTCGCTGTATCGAAGGCCATATATTCACCATAATATTCGCGTATATTCGCTTGTTTGTCTTAAATTAATTGACTTTTATAGCGCAGATTGAATTGCAAAAAACGCAAAATCCCGTAGAAGGAACTCAGAGGCAATAATATCCGCCAAGAGATGCTCTTTTTGAAGTTGCTGAGCAATTGAGACATGACAAATAATGTATAAAAAATGATATTATTTTATTTATTAGATTATATTTTAAAAATTCCTAATAATCGCATTATAAATAATTAATACATTTTAATATTTAGAGTGTACTGGCAAAAACAGTGCATGTCAAAAACAGTCAACGTGAACTTTTGCTGTGACAGAAAGGCAGATGGTTTTCTTTATATATTACTGTCGTTCCAATTGAAGTGTTGCTCAAATATTGATTCAATACATTACCTCAGGCTGACCAATTCATTTCATCAAGTTCCTCGAGATACTCATACACTTCCTGTGAAAGAGCCAATTCCAAGTATTTGATCATTTCTGGTCACTTCCTTTCTATTTATGATTGGTTAGTTGCACAAACAACAAAGGTGATTGGTGCATTCAAACTATTCAACAGGAAGTTTACAATTATACTAGGAAGTGTATGAATATCTCGAGGAACTTGATGAAATGAATTGGTCAGTCCGTGGTAATGTATTGAATCAATATTTGAGCAACACTTCAATTAGAACGACAGTAAATTGTTGTGGTGTAATTTGATAGTACTTGTCAATTTAGCATAATTTTGAGCACTTTTCTTTCCGGATCCGCCAGCTTTTTATAATTTTACTGTTTGTCATTTACTTATACAACTGTTTACAAAAAAATCCTACTGTTTACAAATTTTTCTGTTACATACTTAATAGATGTCTTCTTAGGGACAATTCATTAATTATGACCTGTGGGCTGGCAAAATTCAATTAACAACTAAACAAAATGTGCTGCCCCACCCCCTGCATCACAAAAAAATTCAATGACCCCCCTCACATGAATTCTAAAAAATAGTACCCCCATGCACCACCAATAATATAATAAATGTACAGTACTGTCTAAAATGAGCTCTTTAAACTTGTTGTACATCTTTCATTTACTTGTGCTTTCAACAATTAATTTAACCCATTACGCTGCAGAGTTTCCTGTTAACGAGTAAAATCGCCTGGCGTTAAACAAGTAAAAAAATCTGGTGTTAAACAAGTAAAAAAATAAGTACTGGGGTGCAATGGGTTAACTAGAGACATTGTCAGATTTTAACCCATTAAGCTTCAGAGTGCCAAAGAGGTTAAAACTGGGGGTCATACCATTTTTTCACTACTAAGAGGTGTAGTAAAAAGTTGATCAAAAAGGGAAAAGTTACTTGAAGTTGTTCAAGCCGGAAAAAGTTGCTCCAAATGCAAAATGTTGCTCAAAAGTTGCCGAGCACAATCAGGACATGCCTAGCAGAGCTTCCCCGTTGACAAGTAAAATCGGTTAGGAGTATAGGGTTAGGAGTAGGTTAGGGTTACAGTGCTGTAGGAAGCTCTTTTTGATTGGGGAGCTGAAAGCGAGGGCCAAAGGCCCCAGGAAATTTTAAAATTTAGTCTCTGAAATGCCATTTCCTGACTTTGGGGAAGAATTGGTAGATATAGTGAAATGCCATTTCCTGACTTTGGGGAAGAATTGCTAGTTATAACGGTAGATGTTCGATTATTTTTCATATTAGCTGTGCATATTGCATTTTGGGTATTTGTGCATTGCATTTTGGGTCTATCTGTTCATTAAAATTGAGAATTTTGCTAGCTATACATGAATTAAATTTACTGCCTTGCTCACTCCCTGTGGTAGCAATAATCGTTATGTGTTTCTCCACTATAATACCATTATATTAAATAACTGGACCCCCCCCCCCTTCTGAACCAATATTTTTAGGTGCCACCCCTTTTTGGTCAAAATACCTCATGACCCACCGCACTTCTTTGCCAGCCCACCCCCGGTCGTAAATAATGAACGGTCCCTTGCTAATTCAATAACCGTGACACAATAAAGATTTTTGCTGTCAATTGCACTAGCTAGAATTAGCATTTTAATAATAGTACTGACATCCTTTTAATTTTTAAACTAGGAGAATAGTTTCATGAAAAAATTTATTTATATTATACCATAAACTTCCAATTATAAGTCCCAGAATACAAGCCCGGCGTCTATGACTCCGTCACATCACTAACGTTCACACCATTCGAAATACTAGCCCATAATCATAATCAGAAGTTTATGGTATAAGAAAAGTAAATTTTCTCACGAAACTATTATGTGCTATTATTAAAATGCTAATTTTAGTGCAATTGACAGCAAAAATCTTTATTGTGTAACAGTTATTGAATTAGTAAGAAGACATCTATTAAGTGTGTAACACAAAAGTTTTGTAAACAGGTAGGATTTTTTTGAATTGCTGCATACGGTACATGACAAATAAAATTATTAAAGGCTGACGGATTCGGAAAGAAAAGTGCGCAAAATTATGCCAAATTAACAAGTACTATCAAATTACACCACATGGCCTCATGATTTAATATATAAAGAAAACTATCTGCTCTTCTGCCGCAGCAAAAGTTCATGTTGACGCACGCATTGTTTTTGCAATTACACTCTAGATATTAAAATGTGTCGATTATTTATAATGCGATTATTAGGAATTTTTAAAATATAATTTTTGCATCTCTAGCAATGCAATCTGCGCTATAAAAGTCGATTAATTTAAGACAAACAAGCAAATATACGCAAATATTATGGTGAATATACGGCCTCCAATACAGCGACAAGATACGGCAAATCCGATCCTCAGCTGGCGTCATGTGATATGTTCTAGAGGTCTGGACACAAATTAATTTGGCCGGGGGGTTGTCTTGTGTTAATATTGGCGGAGATTTGACGCTATCGTCCAACTTCGCCAATATTCAACATGTGGTAATGGCACATGTGGTAATGGCAATTTAGCACCCATGTGATGGGTGCTAAATTTGCGGGATGTTCAATGTCCGGTTTAGCTTCAATGTCAAAAACACATGGGTGTTCAATGTCAGATTTAGCTTCAATGTCGAAAGCACATAGGTGTTGAATGTCCTATTTAACTTCAATGTTGAAAATATGTTGAATGTTCTGCATGTTCAATGCCAGATTTATCTTCAATGTCGAAAGCACATAGGTGCTGAATGTCCTATTTAACGTCAATGTAAAAAGCATGATATACATGAATATTGGCGGTGATATGACGCCATAATCTATTACTTCGTGTTGATTTAATTAAAGTGAATATTTAATTTGAATGTTAATTAAAGTGAAAATTAATTAAAATGCACCATTGATTAAGATGAGTTATATGTTGTGTCACAGCATAGTTTATATAATGAGAGGATTTGAAAGGCCGGTAATCTTCAAAGGATCAAGCACTGAACCATAGTGGTCACAGTAATGCACATACAAAAGTTAGTCCCAATTCGCCCATATCAATTGGGATTAGTTTCAGAAATATTTGCAAAAATTCACAAATTACCACTAAATAGACTATATAAAATTTTGGAAAATATTCAATACATATGAGACAGGTCGTTGTAGGATCTTCGCAGATCATTACAGGGTTGTTTTAGGTCATTGTAGGTCATTGTAGCATCATGGTAGGTGGTTGTAGGTCATTCCTTACTTTAGTACCTACGATATTTCAAGACCTTTCAGGGCTATAGCTACCTTTTACCCAAATAGCCGGGCGGAATTAGTACCCTCGCACGGCGCTTCGTGCCGCCGGCTCAGGGATGACATAAAAGCTGCCTTGGCTATAAACATTATAATAATGGCAATGGCCTGCCTTGCTTGGCTGCAAAGCAGCTGCCTTGGCTATAAACATTATAATAATGGCAATGGCCTATATGGCAAGTGAGGAATGATCAGCTCATTCGTCAATAACACAAGCTGTAAATTGAATTAATTATAGGCCTGGCAAATAAAATTATGAGAAATTGAAGAGCTTGTTTGTTTTGAACTTTTGAGATCTCAGTAGCACTTATTACATTTGATGACACACATGTTATTTAATTATCCGCATTTCTGACATGCACGCTTAACATTTGAAAAGCGTTCATTTTGCATTTACTTTAAAGTCAATTTAGGTCTGTCTGTTCCAATTTTGTACAATAACAACAACTGTGACCAAGCTATTAGATACAAAACCTCGCCTAAGGGACACAAAGTCTGAGATTAAAAAGCTCTTCTTCTGACCTTGAATTAACTTTGGCATAAACTAAGCATTCAACTGAGGTATAAACTGTAACAATAAGCCATGCTTTTAGATAACTAATGCTGTCAAAAAGTTGCAATCTATTATCACATACAATACTGAATCCAAGTATTAAACACTGTCCAGTGTCCACTGTGGGATTTTAAATAATCAAATACAATGATGTAATAGATGTTTAAAGATATCTAATAGATGTTTAAATATATCTAATAGATATCTTAACTATTAATTAAGCACCAGAGCTCTCCCCTTCACGAGTAAAATCATCTGGCATTAGACAGAGTAAAATAATCTGGCATTAGACAGAGTAAAATAATAAAGTAGGGTGCATCAGAGTGATATGACTAAATACCTCAGCCTTCGGTGTTTAACTCTAACTTATGTGTTTCTGTTAATTTTAGACTTATGAACAATGAAGTCATGTCCGGAATGAATAGAATGAATATGAATGGCAATGGTGGTAAAGTTGTGTTTAGAAAGACAACTATCTTTCAACTTATCACTGGTACATAATAACTTGTATACAGTGTATTATTTTGTCCAGGTAATTGTCATGCTAATTCTTTCATTATGAATTTGTTTAGAAATGGCTTTGAAGAATCATAAAGGAACAGAGAGTGAGGTGGTTCAGATTTGTTCCAGACTGCTGAAATATGCACCAGACAGAAAAGGTGGCGGAGGGTGCAAAGAAAACTCTGCATGAACTGGGAAGAATGAACATATTGAACTGCTAGCTATGTATATATACATATGTATTTTAGATACATGTACGGGGTCATCCACATTTAGTGTAATCCACATTTAGGCCCCAGTTACATGATACTGTGTTCGTATCAGAGCGACATCAATTTAAAGAGTTTTCCAGTCTTGTCTGCTCTTACAACTTTTCATATTTGAAGTTTCTGTTTAACCCATTAAGCGCCAGCGCTCTCCCCTTGACGAGTAAAATCATTGGCATTAGACAGAGTAAAATACTAGGGATGAGCCGATACCAGAAAAAAGCCGATTCGCCGATCCGATATATCGGAGCCGATATAAAAAAATAATCGGCCGATTAATCGGCTATGGCCGATATTTCTGTGTACCGGGGTACAAGCGCCGGATAATGGTTTTTTGACAACTTTTAATACTTGTGTATACGCCACAAATTGACGTACTAGTTTTAGTGTGTTCCGGAAAATATTTACTCATATTGGACGTTATCGGTCACTGTACGAGTCCAACCCTCGAAATTTGCCTCGGCACTCTGCAATTGCCGACGCAAATGCTGAGGCAAGTTACGATTTTTCATAGTTTGCCTCGGCAAAAAAATGCCGAGGCAATTACACACGTTGTACCTTAAATTACAAACTACAGTGTCTGTTCGTTTTTTTGCTTAAATTTACAAACTACAGTGTTCGTTTTTTGTATCACTTTTTTGTTCGAATTGTTGTCATCGACATTGCATGGTGAACAACAGAAGATTTCATTCATACAGCTACTTTACAAAATATTATTAAATTTGAGCTTTTCAGCATCGGCTTCGCCTGAAATAAAGAACAATCTTGATGGTTTAAAGATGGCACGTTGAGAAACTTTGTTTTATCTTTTAGACTGTTGCGTGATTACCGTCAAGTTTATTCTTTCATACTATTTGTTGTTAATTACCACTAACTTTTTAAAAACATGTTAAAACAGGAATTTATCAAACGTCAGAATCTACGCTCGGTATAATATTTGTTTACAATAATTTCCGTACTTTAATTACAATTGCCGACGTGAACGCCGAAGTAATTGCCGAAGGAATTTAAGGTGATTTCATTGCTTGCCTTGGCAAAAACAATTGCCGAGGCAAACTCGAAAATTATCGAAATACTTTGGCAATTATTTGGCGAGGCAAAAATAGTTTAATTTCGAGGGTTGCGAGTTGAATGAATTAATGGCTTTGGGATTAAATACGCAAAACAAAAGTGTCAAAAACAAGACGGAGTGTAGATTACTAGATTATAGAGTTATTTTTCTTAAAAAAACGAAAAAATTGCGAATATCGGCAAATAGCCGATTATAAAAAATAATCGGCCGATTACCGATTATTTTGAAAACGCCAATAATCGGCTCATCCCTATAAAATACTAAAGTAGGGTGCATTGCCACTCAATGGATTAACTAGACACATGGGCAGATAGTCCAGTTAACCCATTAAGTGCCAGCGCTCTCCCCTTGACGAGTAAAATCGTCTGGTGTTAGACAGAGTAAAATACTAAAGTAGGGTGCATTGCCACTCAATGGGTTAACTAGACACATGGGCAGATAGGCCAGTTAACCCATTAAGCGCCAGCGCTCTCCCCTTGACGAGTAAAATCGTCTGGTGTTAGACAGAGTAAAATACTAAAGTAGGGTGCATCAGGGTGCATCGCCACTCAATGGGTTAATAGACACATGGGCAGACAGGTCAGTTAACCCATTAAGCGCCAGCGCTCTCCCCTTGATGGGTAAAATCGTCTGGCATTAGACAGAGTAAAATACTCTGGCGTGAAACAGAGTAAAATACTAAAGTAGGGTGCATCAGGGTGCATCGCCACTCAATGGGTTAACTAGACACATGGGCAGATAGGCCAGTTAATTTAACCCATTAAGCGCCAGCGCTCTCCCCTTAACGAGTAAAATCGTCTGGCGCTAGACAGTAAAATACTCTGGCGTTAGACAGAGTAAAATACTAAAGTAGGGTGCATCAGGGTGCATCACCACTCAATGGGTTAACTAGACACATGGGCAGATAGGCCAGTTAACTAGACACATGGGCAGATAGGCCAGTTAACCCATTAAGCGCCAGCGCTCTCCCCTTGATGAGCAAGGCAATTAATCAAGAATGTGTTATTTTAACAATGAATATTTTTGTTATCGTGAGTTGAAATTACTGGTTAGTTCATCAAAGAAAAGTTCATCAACTTAAGCACATAACGAACTTAATTTTCAATAGCTTTGTACTCATATTTGCTCATTTTGCTGAAAAGGGCACGACTAAAAAACTGAATATCTTCATGATCATGAAAAAATTATGTTCATGCATGCATCGATAAAATTACATCACCTAATTATTATACACCCTCTATACATTTGTGCACTGTTTTGTAAAGTATATCATTTTTAGCTCCAAATAAAGAATTAACTGTGCCCAGGTAAACATTTTCCTGTTTTACCATTTTTTGCTGTGCCTCGAGTACGATGTTTTAACATTACTTTCTAGCTGTAAGATTTTCGCAAATGCTGAAAATATGCAACATTGATTCGGTTTGGTTCCATTAATCTATTTTAAAATAGACAATGAAATTTATGATCTGTACCTCAGATTGACGTCGAATCGAGGTAACACTGTCAACATCGAATCGATTTGCATTTTTGACCTTCAATCAACGTCGAATTGACATCGGTAATACAACGTCGATTCAATTTGCGGGCATAGATTGTCCGACCGTTTATTAAAATTTGAGCATTCACTCCACTATATGCTTTACACCTTTAGAACTAGCATTTTCCCACCATTCTGAATATGATTAGTCTTAAATTCATAACTACATTTAGGTGATAAAATATTGTAAATCCTCTATTAATCCTGCTGGGGACTATAAACATTTTAGGGGCTGGTGCTGATTGGAAAGAGGAGATTACTGATTTAGCTGAAATGCACTAAAATTATGGGAACTACCACAGCAGTTAACCCATTACGTGGAAGCCCTCTTCCCTTGAGGAGTAAAATGGTCTGGCATTAGACAGAGTAAAATAATAAATTACAAAAACCTAATCAGTAAACATGTTATTATTGTGGTAAAATTAAATATTGTCAATAAAGAGGGGCACTTCTTTGGGGGAGAGGGATATTACATATGCACATTATCCAAACGTATGAGCTCCCCTTTAAACCACACACCAATGTTATGACTGGCAGCTGTTTATGTACTATTTAAAAAACGAGCAGGAGTGTTTTATTAGGTTTAAAGCCACGAGCGCGCAGCGTGAGTGGGCTTTAGTCCTAATATAAAAACACACCTGCGAGTTTTTTAAATGACTTCAAAAACATTGCATAATAAGTCAAATCTTTATATAAAAATCTTTATATAGTTTGCATAACAATGGTCTTTTGTTAAAGTGTTCTTTAGCTGGTATAAAGACGTATGCATGTGACTAATTTCTTACTCAAGATTGGATAATTGCTTCATGAATTATTAATGAGTTTTTGAAGTATCTGTAAAACGATTCTGGGCAAACTGAACTACATGGGATAATGGAAGGTTTGGTGTAACTTGTAAAAAAAATAGCAGCTGTGAGCTTCAACTCTATGCAAGATAATCACCGGGAATGCACTAACTTGGACTAGCTTGTTGTTTTATCAAATGCCTAATTGTTATTACTTTTCTTTTTCTTTGAACTTATTTGAACTGCTTTGTCGCTCGCTTCTTGCCACTTCCTGACCTTGTGTCGACCTCCAACATTGCTCTGATAACTGGGGCAATATCCCTCTGAGCAGCAATGGTCAAATCATTGTACCCAAACTCTCAAGCAGTGGGGTTGTCTAATCTTCCTCCTTTCGCTCTCTGCTGACCAAATAGTCTTCCAATACATCCTGCATAAAACATTCTGTCAAAACATATTGAAATCCTTCCTTTAAAAGAAACTGTATAGCTTTAATACAGATATCTGAAGACCTTCTTATGTTTGGGGCGACAGAAACATTTTCCCTCTTTCATCACGTGAGAGCAGTCCCAGATGATGCAAGGTACTCTCCTTCCAGTCTTGAAGGTATTTTAGGAAAACTTCCTTTAACTAAGTTTAAAGATAGGATGGAAAGAAACAAGAAAGGCGACAAGAGGGATGGAAAATAACACTGATGGAAATATGTGGATAAGCAGAAGCAAGAACTTTACTATGTTGTGAATGCATATGTAAACCATGATGTCCAGCAAAAGGAAGGCAGAAGTAAACAATTTTCTTGGAACATGTATAGACCTTGTCCTTGGTGTTAAAAATCCTGTCAAGAAATGTCTTAATGCAACTATCTATATAAGTGCTTTAGGATAACCATTGGAAGGAAAGGTTTTCTTAAAATTATCCATTTCGGACTGGAAAGATATGTAAGATGATCGAAGTATTGAGATGTAAGAGAGAAAAGGAGACCTTTTTTGTATGTCATTTGAATAAAGCTATCAAAGTTAGTGAATAAGCCAGTTGAAGTGCATTTGTGATGGACAGAGGTAGTGAATGACCCGTTTGAACACATGTTAACATCAAGAAAAGGGAGTGAAGAATTGTTTTCAAGCTCATGTTCGAATTGAATATTCGAATGTTTGGAATTGAGATTAGAGAGGCATGACAGGATTGAAAAATCAGAAAACAATCCTGAACATAATAACGATAAAACAAAGGTTTAAAGTTAACTCTTTCTCGACCACCCCCTTTCGCATCAGATTACGACACAATTTTTCTAATATAAATATCTCGGCGAGTATTTACCCCCCTTGTAAATAAAAGCCACCATTGAAATCCTAATAAAATAACCTTTCGAACGGGGGGTCAAGTGCCATCAGAGCATTACACAAACCGAAACAATCATATATTTACTCACCGCTTGGCCAAAGATTCTAGATTTTATATCTACAAGATCTTGAATATCTCTTGAACTTTTTCGTCATTTTCTGAACGGCTATATGTGTAAAATACTCTTTGTATCCAAGCGCTTTCGTGTAGAAAGTTTGGTATGTATACGCCGACTAGAAATATTTATTTTGAATTTTTCAAGGTATCGGGTTTTAGTACGTTTTACTCGCACTTGCGAACATTGCGCAATAATTGGCCAATAAGAAGCTCTTGTGGCCGGTATGACGTCAAACTCACGCGTGTAGGTGCAATTTGACCTTGCGAATCCATTTCTGGCCTTTCCAGGGTCATATGATACAAACGTCGCATTGTTTTGACGGTTTTCAGACGTATTTCCGGTTGGGATTAACTCACTTCGAGCTCACAGTCGGACAAGAAATGGAAATATACTGATAAAAGATACAGATTTGAAGATACAGGCTTGCAAATAACACTCTAAATAGTGTTTTTGGTGGGGATTCGAACAAGACTATTACAAAGACGATATGTGCGAAGGGGCCGAAGTTATTTTCAGCGAAAGGTATGGCTAGTCTATATTTTGTTCAGACAATTGCGTAATTTGATACAATATTATCGTGTTTGACTTTCAAAGGCCCATAAATCGCTACAATGTTAATAATGACTATAACTATCGTTTGGAACTAGTCTATCTTTTATTTCTGAATCGATTGGTGGTATTTCTGTCTTCATAGCATGCACTGAACCGAAGGTATGAAATTTTATAGCCGTCGATCGCTCAGGATCGACGCGATATGGCCTGTGGCGAGAAAGAGTTAAAAGGGCAGTCAGCTAACCAAGATTTTTCATGGAATGGTAGAAAGATGTTAGGAAATAATGGTGAACCCATTGCAACACAAATCAACCTGCTTGTCCTGAGATCACATGTTGTGTATCAGTTCACATGTCAATGCTGTAGCACATTGTATGTTGGCCAAAACACGCTGACACATTCACACATATCTCAGAGCATATATGGGAGTCTCACTGGAATATCTCGACCATGTCTAGTATACTCACTCACAAACACATGCACAAACACCCAGTCTCCGCTTCTGATTTCAAAATCCTATCATCAGGCACTTCCGAGTGGGATCTTCTTATCTGTGAAAGCCTATTAATTTCTCAACTTAACCCCATCTTTAATGCTAATATAATATCTACCCCTCTTTAGTTATTTTAGCTATGTAATGTTAACCTTAACTATACTAACCATGCACTTAACATTAATCTTTAATTGTTAACTAGTTACTGATAAGTTGTTTTCCTTTCATTCTTTTAATTTGTTCTTTCAAACTATGTAACTGTTTTTGTAATATTAAACGATTATTTTGTAAATATATATCTACCCTGTAAATTCATTTAGATTGCTCTGAAGATGTTTTATTGTAAACAACGAAACGTTAGCTAATAAATTATGTTTGGCTGTAAAGTTATTTACTGGGTAGTGCTGTTTATCATTAAATTAATATTTCCACCTGGTGTATTAATTGCCACAGTTCCTTTAACAATGCGAGTCTTTCGTCATCACAGGAGGAATAGGGTTTGATCATTATATTCCTTTTGCAGGTATATTCATTGATAATCTAAGTCATTGAGCATCTGACAGAACATGCTGTACCAAGCACTTCTTCATTATCACTTTCACATAGGGTGATTGTGACAGACCTGATCAGAACTTGAGTTGCCAATTTGACCTTCATCTTACTATAAGATGTAAGCACAATGTGATCCAGTGTTAGTTTTGGAAGGGCATACAATCCAAATTCCTGGTTGCTATAGTAAAGATCAGCAATGTGGCAAAACAACAAGTACTGTCCATCATTCCACATATAATGACTGTGAGATCCAGACCCAGAATTGTATAAACAGTTGTGAGCTGTTTTTGTAAGATGGGGCGAATTTGCAAAAAAGAAGATGAAACTTGTCATTGCAAAGACATTAGGTGTCTTGTAAATGACACTTGGTGTTGGATTTGCCAGCTAGGTTGACATGGAGGTGAAAAATTTCCTGTTTGGGGAAGCACCATCATCGACTGCTGCAACAACCTTCAGATCCAAAGAAACTTCCAGAACAGAAAAAATTTTCCAGAAAATTGGCATCAATTGATACAATGTCAAACTTCCTGTAATAAAATTACAGTACATAAGAGCTGATGTGGTTGCATGTAGTTGTGCACCGCATAGAGTTTTTTGCTATCCAGCTGGACACTGAATACGGTGGAAAGTGAAAAGTAATCCAGCTGAATAACAGGTATTTTTCAAATAAGGTTCAGGCCTCTTCAACGTTAAAATAATAGGAGATATTTATGAAGGTATTTATAAATAATGAAGGTATTTATAATATTTTGATTTAATTAAAATATTTGAAATAATAAGAAACAATTACTTTCCCATGTAATATTGGTAAACATGCAAATATCGGTTGCAAAAGCTATGCTCACAAAATTCAAAGATGAAATCTACATTACAAACAAGCATGAAAATCCTGAAGCTACTGCCAGGCTTTCTGTGACTATGTCAAGTAAAAATGATAAGCACCCCTACTTTTTTAACCCTTTTAACCCAACAATTATTTACCTGTGAAATAGTATCAAACGTACAATATGTTTCATATCAGTACACAGTCCTTGAGCAAGGAAGGCCAGAGCAGACTTGGCATTTAAGGACAGGGCAAATCGAATAACTGGTGGATGATATCTTCTTCCAAGCTTGTTTGATTTTAGAAGTTTAACTTGTTGCTCCCAGAAAAAGTTGATATGTGGAGTAGCATCCAGGTTTTGGCCACTCATAATTTGCAGGATATCCTTATCTACTGCTTCATCAATATGTATACCATCAGCTTCAATTTTCTTTTCAAGTGTTTGAAGTCTCTCTTCAAACTGCTTACAATGCAGCCGGTCACTTAATTACAGTTGCCCAAAGTTTTGCAGGCCGACATGCTGCAAGTGGTTCCTTGCAGGCCCCCATGCTGCAAGTGATGATTTGCACTGCTGTTCCTCTAAAGATGTACCAATTAATTCACAGTCCACTGACTGTAGTACAGTCGAGGTATCAATGTGGGTCTGCTCAGATGTTAGGGATTTGGGAATAGAGTGGCATAAAATAGTACCAGATGTTGTTACTTTTGAAGTAGGATCTACAACAACTGACAACGCATCAATATCTGGTAAACCCTGACACGATGAGGACTCTTCAATAATATTTACCAGTTCACACATGGAATGATACATCACTGAACGTTTTAGCTCCTTATAAATAGGATGATCCTGTTTGATCAGCCAATTATATATGGCGACAGTAAATTCCAGAGAGGAATGAATTAGCACAGCATATTGAGGCAGGCTATGTAGATCATCATAGAGTTCTAGTTTAACACCATTATCAGGAGAATTATCAAATTTCTAGGAAGGAACACTATCTTGCACCTGCTTAATAACACTTTCCAAGCTTGGTGTTTTTACAACTTGGCTAGGAGTTTCTTCTGGTGAGTTGCCACTAGCTGATAGATCCCTTATTTCATCTTAATAATACCTGTCGCTCTGGTTTCACAACATCATACCTTCTCATCGGTAGATTGTCACTAGGAACACTTCCTTTTAGGGTCTAAAATAAACGTTATACAAGCAAATAAATAAAAAACTTAATCATTATATACATTTTTAACACAACAATATGATCTGAGTAGGATTATAGCTGCAGAGGTCCTACATGGCATTGACATGTTATACCAAATATGTTAATTCAAAATTCAAATACCACATGAACACGAATTTATAAGGATGATACTTACAAATATTAAAGCATTCTGGTTTGAAATGGAGCTTGCAGAGGTGAATGTTGTTTGCATCGATTTGTTGTTTAAGTTTGAGCGTCATTTCTCTGGTCCTTAGGATTAATGCAATCCATTCTTGACGAGCCTTTGTCTTCAAAGCTTTTGTGTGGTTGCTATTGGGGCTGTGTACACTACAGGGATCTTGAAAAGCGAAATTCCTACTTGTGTAACAACCATAAAACGCACAATTTGACCCAGGCATTGTTGCGATTACATCTTCGACTTGAAAAATCGAAACAATAAACAATAAACAAAATTATGCCGAAAATAACCACCTTTCTGAATGTAAATTTATAGTATATACTATGGCTGCGACTAGTGTCATGCATTCATCTGGTCATGTGACTGCAATTCAATCCGAACAATAACATATTGTCATGTGACACAAGTAGCCAAACCAGTCTCCTATTACCTGTGGTTTAATAAAAACTACTCTGACAACAGATAATCTTAAAAGATTTCTAGAGCAGTATTTGCTTGTCTTCAAACCAATAGCAATAATGAAGTAGGAATAAAGAGCAAAAAAATTTAACGTTGCTTCAAGATTTATATGAGATACCTGAGCAATAAAATATTTCCTGATAATTTTGAGACTATTTACTTATAGATACAGATTCAAACATATCTTGCATGATGCATGTACCCTAGACAATCACTTGAAGTGATTTGCCCAAAAGCATCCCAAATAAGAGGCATGGAATCTCTCGCTGACTGCAAAACCAAAACAATTTGCCGCAAATAATATTTAACTTGAGAAAAAGCTTTCTCGATTGGATTCTGTTGCGACTATAGGGTGGTAAAACGTGAATGATGGCCCAATATACTCCCACTTGGCTAATCAAGGGCGCTTTCCATTTGCAAAAAAAAACAGTTTGCATTTCCGGAATGTCCAGTGGCAAAATGGAATGCGCACGTCACTGGCCTTGTAAATAATGGGAGGCTTGATTCGGAGGAAAAAATGAGGCAGGCTTGTGAGGCGGGTTAAGTTGATTAAAATGGCGAATTATTTTAGAAGTTTCGTAGCTTTGGAGAACGTTCAATTTGACGATAATTCCGCGATTTTGGACAACGATGATGTAATAATCCTTGCAGCAGTTGCTTGTTTCATGTGAAGAAAGTTAAATCGTGTGAACAGATTTTTCGAGTGTACAGTCCCTTCGTACTTGGCAGGTGAATTCCATAGCCATTTTCGCATGACAAGGGAAACGTTTGAAATGTTTTTGCAAGAAATAATGCACGAAGGACACCTTCAGGTGCATTATCCCAATGGAAGGCCTTTAATACCACCAGAAAGACAGCTACTACTTTTTTTGTGGACGATGGCTAATAAAAAACCAAATCGTGCTATCGCTGATAGATTTAATGTTACCATAAGCAGTGCACATAGAAACCTTCGTCGGGTTGCTCTTTTACAAATATTTAAGTTTAGATTTTCCGAAATTGTATTACGTATCAGTCAGTTTCACCAGTGCCCCCCCCCCCTCCCCCTCCGAATCAGCCATTTACAGAAAGAAAATGGCTATGTCCCCACCCCAGGGAAAGAAGAACTGTGCTAAAGCCCACCCCCAGGCAAACAAATTGGGTCTATATCCCCACTCCCGGGCAATAATATTGACTGTTTAGTACACATTGATTTGCACATTATAATTCTATGGACAATATAAATTTGAAGTACAAAATAGAAGTTCTACAACAAGAATAAAAATGCTTTTATATTAATGCAACAGTATAAATTCTCAACCCTAACTTCAGCACATCTAACTAGACCTACCATAATGGAAAACATTGAAGTCCCCACCCCCAGGCTAAAAAATTTTGGCAATAGCTCCACCCCCGATATGATGATATGTGAAGGCCCGGGTGATGGGCACTCCTGGAATTGACTGATACATTATTATATTTTACTTCAACAGCCAATGAAGCATGTGAAATAGCAGCAGCATGTGAGAATGAAGGGAGATTCCCCAATGTTATTGGAATAATTGATGGTACCCACATCTGCATTCGTGCTCCTGAACATGAACCTCATGTGTATTATAAACAGAAAAAAATTTCACTCACTCAATGTGCAGGTGAGCCTTGGAATCATTATGGAAACTAAGAGAAATTTCTGATTTAAATATGTGTGATAGATGTTAATGGAATGGTTAAATCATATTGCTCTAGGTGGTTTGTGATAACAACATGTTCTTGCTTGATGTACTTGCTGGCTGGCCAGGTTCTGTTCATGACTCGAGAGTGCTTAGAAATTCTGGTCTTTATGAAAATGCTGCAAATAAATTCCCAGGAGACTCGTACCTGTTGGGAGATGGAGGCTATCCTTTGCTAAGGTTCTAAAAAGAATGACATAATATTTATTTTTGGAAGTCTTAGCCTATTTTGATGCTCAATAAACCTTGCGGGTACTATCGTCTGGTACAAGAGCCCTAAATACTTATTAACCCTTTCCCGACAGACCGGTTTCGCATTACATTTCGATTCAATTTTTCTAATATAAATATCTCGGCGAGTATTTACCCCCTTTTAAATAAATGCCACCATTGAAATCCTCATAAAATAACCTTTCGAACGGGGGGTCAAATGCCGTCAAAACATTACACAAAGCGAAACAATCATATATTTACTCACCGCTTGGCCAAAGATTCTAAATTTCACATCCACAAGATCTTGAATACCCCTTGAACTTTTCGTCATTTGCTAAACGGCTATACGTGTAAAATACTCTCTGTATTCAAGCGCTTTCGTGTAGAAAGTTTCGTATGTATACGCCGACTAGAAATATTTATTTTGAATTTTTCAAGATATCGGGTTTTACTCGCACTTGCGTACATTGCGCAATAATTGGCCAATAAGAAGCTCCTTTGGCCGGGATGATGTCAAACTCGCGCGTGTAGGTGCAATTTGACCTTGCGAATCCATTTCTGGCCTTTCCAGGGTCATACGATACAAACGCCGCATTGTTTTGACGGTTTTCGGTCGTATTTCCGGTTGGGATTAATTCACTTCGAGCTCACAGTCGGACAAGAAATGATAAAAGATACAGATTTGTACAGTCAGGGTTGCAAATAACACTCCAGAAACACTATTTAATGGGGATTCGAACAAGACTATTACAAAGACGATATGTTCGATGGGGCCGAAGTTATTTTCGGTGAAAGGTATGGCTAGTCTATAATAATCTGTATTTTTGTTCAGACAATTGCATAATTTGATACAATATGATCGTTTTGACTTTCAAAGGCCCATAAATCATTACAATACTAATAATGACTATAACTATCATTTGGAACTAGTTGATATTTTATTTCTGAATCGAATGGTGGTATTTCTGTCTTCATAGCATGCACTGAACCGAAAGTATGAGATTTCGAGCCGCGAACTGGGCCCTGTTGAGAAAGAGTTAAAGGATTCGTTTTTATGTTGATGGTTTTATGTCACCCTTAAATGTGATAGTTAATTTGCTTTAACATGCCACTTTGTTTTTTAGATGGCTGATAACTCCACTTAAAAACAATGGTTATTTAACTCCCCATGAAAAAAGATTCAACACAGCACTTTCAAGTTTACGACAAATAGTGGAGCGGGCTATCTCACTCTTAAAAGGTCGATGGCGTAAACTAAAGTATCTTGATCATCTTGATTTGGAACTTGCTGTGCAAATTATTATGGCTGCATGTGTACTCCACAATTTTTGTCTATTACATGATGATTTTGATAACTATTTCCTACCAGATGATGAGGATGACAATCAGCAAGATGATGATGATAACAACAACCATGAGATAAATGATGGTGCAGCAGTCCAAAAATGACAGCACCTAATGAACATTGTTGTCCCATGATGACTACGTACATTTGCTATCATTTCTGTACTCTGTGGGCACAAATATACTCAACAGAATGCTCTTATTATACTTCAGCTTTAAAAGGCAGTGGTGCCGTGGCCAGGGGGGGCATGGCCCCCCTATTGTTGAGGCCCGTCGGAAAATTGCCAATGTTGTCCGAAAATTGTCAAGGTTGTCGGAAATTGTCAAAGTTGTCGATGGGGGGGGGGGAGTGAAGATTTAAAATGTTGTCGTCCGGAAACTTTTTTGGTTTGTCGGAAAAGTGCTGCCCTTGGGCCCCCCCCAAAAAACATGGGTCCCACGGCACCACTGATTAAAGGATTTATAGTGTCACACTGTATCACTGGCATTTGTTCTTGTTTTTAGTTTGCCCCAAATCAATAAATACAGTAACATTCAAAATACATTGTTTTGTACATTTCAAATAAGATTTAGGTAAAAAATGGGTTGAGGGTTCTCAAAGGATGGTTTAAATATACGACAGATTGCAAAAAACGTTTTGATAATAGTAGTCCCACAAGATGGCCATCGGCAGCTAATTGAGCCTGCAATACCATGGTGTGGCACTAATCTTATAAAAGCTTGCACTGAACAGGGTGGATATTCGTCTACGCATGCGCGAGAAACGTAAGCGTGGAGTGCACGTGAGCGCAGGTTAATCGCGTGACTGAATTATAAAAACAAACATCAAATTTGCCAAAACTACTCATGTTATGAAGTCGTTTTCTTGTTTCTTTAGTGTTCTACGCTCACAATTTTAGGCATTTCCAACTTAGAAGTGTTTGCTTTGGAATAAGAACGTGAAAGTAGAAATAAAAACTTTGTTGCAGCATTTTAATTTCGCAGTGCAAATATACCTGTTTTTAATATGTATATCCTTTTCGAATTGATTATACAAGTGCAAATTGACCTTCTTTAAATTCGTACTTGCCCTATTTTTCACTCCCTAAAAACTTTTATCCATGGAGAAACTATTTGACTCTAAAAATAAGCTTGAATTTTTGTGGTGATATAGGCTCATTTCTTTGCAAACAGTGATTTAGCACTCAGTAGTGTAGTTGTTGTTTATGAACAAAAGTCTAAAATGAATTCAACATCCGTCAACAAAAAGGAGTCGTGCTTATTACTACTCTGTAGAGGATAGACAATTAATTTAATTCACTAGGAACCCGTTCTACAATATAAAATAGAAATCGGCCAACAAATTGCCACGAAATACTACAAATGAAAATAGGGTCTCTGAACTACCAATTTCACCGAACGGTCAAGTTTCTTTGCAAAGATCGCCACTTTGCCCAATTTTCCTCGAGTAGATCATTGTGTTTTTAAGTCGATGATTATGTATACTTTAACATAAAAGAATAAAGTGGTGATAAAGGGTAGATTTTGAATAAAATACGAATATCTGTATACAAGATCTGAGCGTTATTAAGAAGCACTCGATACTTTCTCCAACAACATATGTCGCTTATTTTTTAACAAAATTAAAAATATTCACACATTAAAGATATGAAAATGTAGCTTGCATTACAAAGAAATGTTGGCTTACCTAACTTGCATCTTACACGTCGATTAAAGTCAAGTAAAGCCATTTCAAAGACGCGTGCCACATTAAACTACAGGTCACATGGTGGTAGAAAACTCGACAAAGTATTCACAATATTTCACAGCCAGTTCAAACGCCACTGTGTACTATTCCTGTGAATTATGATGCCCAACACACCGGGTAACACAATTTACCACTTTGTTCGGCTGTTCCAAGTACACTTTTAAAATACAAGGTCCGATCATATCATGTTCTTCGAAGCATCTTCTCAAAACAGTACAACATAAATATTGCCACTCATCTTCTTCGTATGAAAATATAAGTTTTCCTTTCAATTGCTTTGCTTTAAAAACAGTCATTAGGTTGTTGAAGAGTTAGTATATAACTTCCAACAAAGATTACCCCATTGCTTTCAAAAACCAGTGAATCACAATGCAGAAAACTTCAACATCCTTAGAAATTGTAAGCCAAACATCGAAAAACAAAATTTGCGGGAAAAAGCTCATGAGCCCGCACTATTTTTATGCAGCGTCGACGAAAGTCCACCCTGTTCTTGCACTGTAGTTTACAAACAAATTATATTATGCCATATACTTTCAATAAATAATGCAAATAGAATAATATGATTATCTTTAAATAGTAAAGGGAATAACTTATGGTTAGTTGTATAACTATCCCAGTTAAGACAAACAAAATGTAAAAGCTTGTTGACAGTGTAAACCTTAAAACAACAAAAACAAGTACAGTATCTGTTAAACCAAACAGAGATGAAGCCCCAGTACAAACTTTAAAAACTAACAAAGGGCTCTAACAAACATAAGCATAACTGCCTCATTGTCAATTATTTCTTTTTCATCACTTCCAGGAACTGGCTAAAAAACTGGGGTTTTTTCTTCATGCATTTCCCTTAATAGCTCGACCTTTTTTTCCTCAGCCTTCTCTCCTTTTTCTGAGTAGTCCTTTAAAAATTAAAGCATTTCACTAGCACTCGAGTTGCTCTTTCGTTTTCGCTTTCTGGTAACTGGTTTGTTGACATCCTTATTCTGTTCATCATCACTTGTGACATCTTCATTATCATCATTAGTGGTTTCAAGAGAACATGCCGAAGGAGAAGGGGATGAAAATGAAGTGTCAAATGTGTGTGCAGGGTTCACATTTGGACTATCTCCCATGCATTCAGCCATACTATCCATATATTTCCAATCTTTATTTGCTCTCCCTGTTCTTTTGTTATTGTCTTCAACCTCTTTGTATTTTTGCACCAGTTTATTCCACTTCCTTAGGCACCATTCCCTGACACAATTACTTTAGATTTAGTGTTGAAATGATGAGCAACTCTCTCGAACAAGTGTTTCTTTGTAAGTTTGCCCTTTTTAAGTAGTTGCTTATGCTGTGAATAACTTTCAATGAGTAATCGAACATCATTATCATCCCATTTAAACAACTTTGAAGGATCAGATTGGGAAGTTTGGGTATTAGGGATCTCAATACTTGCAGGAGGCGTCAATTGTGTAAATACATTGAAAGGATTCATTGTAGAACTTTGCAAAGAGTCAAATGAACTGCCTATATAGTATAGCATTATATTTAAAAATTAGCATTTTTAATTTAAATTTGAAGAATTTAACACTGCCGCTCAAATCTCTTCTTTCTCAAAATATATCAATCTTTACTTACCTCTAACAGCTTGTGAAAAATTACAGGAATTATTGTGGAATTGTTCAGACTGACTGAAATGGTTGAGAGGTATCCGGTCGTTTCGCCCCCAAGTCGTTTCGCCCCCAGTCGTTTCGCCCCCAAGTCGTTTCGCCCCAAGTCGTTTCACCCCCAAGTTAGCTAGTGAATTTAATATCTCTTACAAACAAACAAACTCACCCATATTTGCAAGTATTGTGGACATATGGATCAAACGGCAAACACGCAAAAACCTATTCACTACGTAACATTTCAAACGAAAACAAAAGCGCAAAAAGGTTTGACAAAGTCGGTAATCAACGCATTGATTAGTTTTTACAATGGACGAACGAAACAATTCCCAGAACAGTGATTAGTTTTTGACAATAGACGAACGAAACAATATTCTAGACTTTCAAAATGAAAGAATATCAAATTATAAATAGAAAAATGACTCAATCCCGGTATTATACTCATCTTTCAAATATGTATGGAATGAAACAGATAATATAAAATGTTTGAAACGTAAACATTCATGAAAAACATTGCATGCATAACGGTAGCTTGCAAATAGTTACTCAGTGACAATGACAACATTTATATGTCTGTGTATTCTTGTCTATTTTTAATATATCCATCATTTGAAGTTGTTTGGCAACGAAACGTTGAGGCGAATCGACTTAGCCACTTGGGGGCGAAATGACTTGGGGCGAATCTACTTGGGGGCGAAACGACTTGTATTCGGTTGAGAGCCCGCCATTTTTGTTTTGGTGGCGGTTTTGCTCGTCGAGGACTGGGAAATGTTTTAATGGACGTAAAAATTTCGAAACTTCCGGAATTTCCAATTTGTGGACAACCTTGAGAGATTGTCCGAAATTTTCGAAACAGCATTCCGGAAATTAACGTGTTCCATTTGATTTTCATGCAATATTTCCGGAATTTCCATCAAATGGAAAGCGCCCCAAATGATATACTCCCACTTGGCCGACCAAGATAACAAGGTTTCACTCCACCCATGTTCAGAAAGATTGTAAAATCTGGTAAACTGTCCTCGAACATACAAATAACTCTGCTGAAAAAAACTCTTCTCATAAAAAAGATGCTGGTAAACCATTCTCCATTGCAAATTATCAGAATACTGCCTCAGCATTGTAATATTTTGAAAACCTTACTCCTGGCACAGTCAACTAATATATGCAGTAGTTTATACAAATATCTACCGTCTTGATGCATACTATCAGTACCATGTGACTGATATATATTGCTATATATTTTTTGACAACCTTTTTGAGAACGACAGTATATATATATAATCGGCAAACAGCATGTTTTGGCATTCTGCGCCTCGCCAGCGCAGCTTGGTACATGTCTAGATATGTGATGCATTTGTATTTTTTTGCAAGAACTTGCTCTCACCAAGGCATGTGTACAACACAACACTGCATTGCCCTGGTGTTCAGTACCACATCAGGGTCTGAAATTTGACTTTTTTTAACTATCCACATGGATACCAAGGTTTTAAAATTTGGTATCCCTACCGATAATCCAGTATCCCAAATCTGGACACTTAACTCAATTCGATCCGCCAATATTAATTTCCGACGTATATGACGGGAAGATTAAATATTAAAGAACTTCGCAAGTATTTGCAGTAGACATACGAAAATACCACCAAAACATTCCGCTTGATCGATACCATATATTCAGAAATATTCATATAATTTTATTGTTTCTCGCTCAATTTCAA